TACTGGGGATTTTATATGTTTGGGCATGGGTCTTTAATGAGGTTCTGTTTATAGCGTTACAAAGAGGAAGCAGTAGGAGAGTTATGGATAGGTTTAGAGACAGTCATAGGCTTTAAATTTGGTGTCTCCAAGCTGAAGCTCTGCCAAGCTCTGCCAAGACTAAGGGAACCACCCTGGCCTTTCTTAAATTCCCATGGGACCAGCAAGGAGGGCCTCTGTGGGCCTTGGTTTCTCCATCTGCCAGCGTTGATGTAACCACTGTTGATTAATTAGTTCATGTTCAAATTCAGCATCAATCATAATATATAAAGGAAGTCATGCTAACCCCATACATGAGTAGAGAAACAGAACCAGCATCGTCACACTCATGTGGATAACTGAATTTCTTCCCCCAAGTCATTCTGGTTCTCTGGAAAACAAGAAGGAAGGAAAAGTATTAGCTCATGGACCCTCCTCTCCCCCTGCTTTTGGTTGACCTTTTGATTTTGTTTATGCACACAGTGAACATATATTGGTGACTACTCTCTATTTTATGTTTTGTAACAGGGATTCAACTTTCAGAGAAGGTATTTTTCCAGGGATTTGAAATTTTCTGCACTTAATCAGCCAAGGATTTGCCTATTTGTGCTAATTCAACCAAATCGTCTCCAGTGATATCTTGGGGATGATTTTTAAAGCTCTTGTGGCTGGTGATGTGTTAATTAGTGTTGCTGTATTCCTGGGAAGCCTATTAGTTCAGATACCCCATGTCCCTGGTGGGACTGGGCCCGTGGGCTATGAAAACAAAGGTCCTTGACTCCGTAAGGATTCAAAAATCACTTAGAATCATGTCAGTATATTTTCCTTTTTGCTGGAGAGAAGATGGTAGCTTCCAAAGCAGCTGCTGATCCAAAATGGGTTCCGTCCACTGACCTGGAGACATCAAGACCTTTCCCTTCGCAGGGGAGGAGCTCAAGCCCCAAGGGGCAGGCTTCCCCCACGCAGTGGCGCTCCTTCGCTGTGGCCCCTGGCTGGTGCCCCCAGACCCCTGTCTGCTTTCGCTCTGTGATACAATGTGTTAGGGCAAGAACTGTGTCCCTTGTTTTGGGGAGAGGGAACCAGGAAGTCACTGCGTCACATCAGGTCACCCTGCGCTCCAGTGGGAAGGGAGAGCGAGCCTCGGACTGGTCTGTCTGTTCGCCTGGGGTCCTCATCCTCAAATGCAGCAAGCGATGACCCACGACAAAGATGAAGTGGGGGCGGGGACCACAGGCTGAAGTCCAGCAGGGGTTTCTGTCTTTGTGTGATTCTTAGATGCTTGTGTTCAAATGTTAAAAAAGTTTTTTTTGATAATGATCCACTTCGAAGTGGTTCTTTTCTTACCTCCTGAAGGAACTGTAGCCTTGGGTTCCGTACTCAGTGTTTATAAGTATTTCCTACTTATACTTAGAAATGGTAGGTTGATTGGGTTAAGAAGCTGTTTTTGTGTTTGTCTGTGAGTGGGAATGATGGCAGATTCAAGACTTCCACTGAGCCTTTTCTGTCTCTCTTGTCACTCACCAGAACCTCTCTGCCATGTACACATCTCTGAACCAAAACCTCTGGGATTTCAAGTCCCTAAATGCCACTGCAGTGACTGCTCACACTGCGCACTTTGGCGAGCAGAGGAGACAGCACTCCGCCACCTCGCCAGGCCGCCGAGGGGCCCAGCTCAGGGGTGGTTTCCAGGCAGAGGATTTGGCTTGACTCAGGGCTCTGTGACCTGGGACCTCATCTCTCTCCTCCTCAAGTTTTTCATTGAAGGGGGTGATCTCTACTTCACAGGGCTTTTGTAAGGATTATGAGTATTAAGCTAAGTCCTCAGTATCACCTACTAGCCAGTGTCATTGATGTTTTCTATTTCTGACCTTGACATCATCCATTTTATCCCTAAATGTCCTTCTTCCTGCCCAGTCCTACTTCACAGGTGTCTAAACCTTTCCTATTTCAGGAAATCTCCTGGGTTCTTGTCACTGTGCCCCACTTGTGTCCCCACACTAGGTGCTGCCATTTCACCTGATGGCATGTGATGGTTCATCCAGCCCTAACCAGGAGAGGCAAGAACAGTCCACTCAGGATACCTCTGTACTCTCATGATTTATTTGGACAGATTTTCCTCGTTGCAGACTTATTAGTGGTGGCGTATTTAACTTCAGAAGTACATCAGGGGCTCACAGCCTCTCCCTTCCCGTGGGAGAAAGACTCACACCTTGGGAGCCCAAGGCGAGGCAGGCTTCTTTCCCTCGGTCTACGGTGCGCTGTGCGTGATGTTCTTGTGGTGCTGGGGTGCGCTGGCGGTGTCTCACCTCTGTGGCTCTCTGGACATTGTTTGCAGGAGGTTCAGAATCCAGTCCCTCTGCGTCACTAACAAAAACCAGCACAGCCTTCAGCGCTTGTTGGAGGCTGAGTAGCTCTGCTCCTTAGACTTAAAGGAATTTATTTATGTCTTCCCTGTCTGTCATCCCTTAAATTATAAAATTCTAAAGGGAAGAGTTGGGTTTTGGGGTTGTTTTTTTTCCCCCCTCCACTGAAGAGCATCTAGGTCAGGCCTGTGAGCTCAGAGGCGGCCCAAGGAGGCAATGATGCCCTCTGGCTGGCCCAGGGGACACCCAGGTGGCCTCCTGCATGGTGTGGCTTGTTTCCTGCGTAGCCCTCCACTCTGCTGGCTCGTGGCTTTAGTGTTCATGGGCTTGAAAGCCCAGATATTTAGTTCAATTTCCCATCTAGCCTCCGCAGCCTGAGTTGTTAGATGTTGTCAACTTTAGACGTATAGAAACACCCCCCCATGTCTATATACATATGCGAAGGCTACAAACATACGTGAAGGCTGTCTGACATCTGAGGCAAGCAAGACTGTACTACATGGCACTCATAGGCTTGCACACGATTGCGAGCACACACGTGGTACGGATGCCGCACAGAGGGTGTTTAGCTTTGAGCATGCAAATATTGCCCGGAGGGGGTGCTGTCCCACTGAGACGGTGTGTGCTCCTCCAGAGGCCGGTGTGTGAGTTGAGGCAGCTGACTGCAGGAGGGCTGGCAGGCCTGCGCTTCCGAGGATCAATACACAGCCTCTTCTCCCTGGTGGAACTGAGAGGCACCTGCTCCCAGGAGAGGGCCCACCAGGACCTCAGAGGGCCGCACCTGTCTCTGGTGTTTTCTCATTGTGTAAGCCCTGCTGGCTCGATCTGAGTAAACAAACCCAAAATGATTTTCAGAACAAGTGTTTTTTTTTTTCTTTTCTTGATTTTGGAATATAAAACAGTATTCCGGTTGGGCAGTTTATCTGGAAAGGGAATCAAAGACTCAGTCAAGTTTATGGACTGAGATTCTGGTCTTTAAATGAGGCACCGAGAGGGCAGGATAACCCACCCTTGCCTTGCGTTACAGCAGGGAGTGAGGTCAAAGAGAAAGGGATCCCCGAGTGTCCCCTTGTTTCTTCATTGCACTTTGGGAAGATTTTCTGTAGCTTTCAGCTTGGAGATGAGAGTTCATTCGCTTGTGGAAAATGTGTGAGTAGAGAAGGGAAGGAGGAACACAGAGCTTGCCTCCTGCCCTGCAGGTGGATGACCACTGACCTCAGTGAGAGGTGTCCCCCCGCCAGGCCTCTGCGGTTTCCGCAGCCCGAGAGCCACATAATGAATGCTCCAGACCAGGACGCTTCTGGGAGTGAAAGGGGCACCAATAACCCTGCTGTGGTAGCAAGCCACACCGGGATGTATGGCTACCCTGCTCGTGGTGGGTTCCCTAAAAACATGTTCTGGTGACCTCTCTGTGACATCTGAGTTATGTTTTGCATGTTCTCATGCTCACTCACGGTCAAAAGACTCTCTCTTCCATTCGTGCCCCTGCACATTTAAGATTTGCTCAATGCCTCAGCTCTGGGAAGCCTCTCTCACAGATCCGCCTGTGCTGTGACCCCCAGCCTGGCTGCTCAGCCTCACCCTTGTTCTCCTGTAGTTTGATCCAGGCATTTTACCTCCATTAGGAATAAACAAATGACCCAGGAGACCAGTGGTGTTTGGGACTCTCTGGTCCTGAGAAATGACACCCTTCAACTGTGTTCTCAAAGGGGACTTTGTAAAAGGAGGGTTAGTTCATGAAGGTCAAGGGCTGGGTACTGAAGTCAGCTCGTGAGGGTCAGAAGGTCTTACTGCACCCGGGCTGCCATTTGTCTGTCTCTCTGCCTGTCGCTGGCCACATGACTTCCCATCTCTACTTGTCTATGGGTATCTGCTTCCTTCTGTCTATCTCTAACCTGCTGCTTCATTCCATTCACACATGGTACGTCATGGCTGCCCTCATATCAGGTGACCTTTTGGCTGAGAACCCACACTAGAGTCCCAGGCTCCTTCCCCATTCCACTCCCTATCCCTGAGGGAGAATCTCATTGGCTGAGCCTGGCATTTGAATGGGTGCCCCCTGAGTCATTGCAACCAGGAGAGCAGTCTCATATGATCGACTTCTGTGGGCTGTGGGAGAGAAGGGCACATGACAACCACCACAATCCACGCACACAGCATTTAGGGCAGTCTGAGCATTTTCACGCAGCCTCTCCTTTAATCCTCCCAAAACGCAAGTGAAGTAGGTACTATTATCCCATTTTGTGAACCAGGAAACTAAGGCACAAAGAGGTTAAACAGCTTGTGAGCCAGCAGTCTGGTTCCAGAATCTGTGCGTCTGATCACTACTCGATATTGCTTCTCCAAGACAGGCACTGCTAATGTACTGTTTTCACCTTCCTTACCCTTGTTAGTACCTTTACATTGAGCAGTCTACTCAGTGAATGTTTGCTGAATGAGTGAACAAATGAATGAATGAGTGAGCAAAGGGATGAAGAAATGAAGGAACATGCAGAAGAATCCACGGTCCATTTGGAAGTTAGGAGGTAGCTCATATCCTCCTGCTGCTGCCTGCCCAAGTTCAAAGTGTTCACTCATGTTCATAGTGCTCTCCCTTCCCGTCCCTCTCTTTTTGCTCAGACAAAAGTGAGAATGGTGAGGCGTACCAGAGGAGGAAGGCGGTGGCCACCGGCCTTCCAGAGGGCCCTGCTGTCCCCATGCCTTCTCCAGGTAACCTGGCTCCTCGCAGTGACAGCAGCTGGAGGAGGATCGCGCTGCTCATCTTGGCCATCACCATACACAACATCCCAGGTGAGGTCTTGCCACCTGCCTGAAGGTGAGGTCCCTGCCAGCTCCGTTGCCCAGCTGGAAAGGGGGCCTGGGAAGTCGGGGGGATGTAGATCCATTTTTGAGGGGGTTGGGGGAGGAATTGCAATCCTTCTTGACTTTGTTTTGGGGGTTACTTCTAGAATGTAGAGGGATCATTGTATGTTAAAACCTCCCGTTCCAATCACTTCAATCGGTGTCACTCCTGTCTCCGTCAGCGAGTTCCTTTCTTTACATGTTTGACGCTGAGTCCCTCAGAGCCCATGCCCGCAACTGTGGCCTGATTGCCACAGGAATGGGCCTTTCCTAAGCATGGGTGTCTCCGGTTCCACTTCACACTCTTTCAAATACAGATTTCAGTACAGTTTAAATAGACATTTGTCTTACCTGCTTTCTGTACTCGGGACATCTTTCTGAAATGTCCTTATCAATCCTTTCCTTTTTAGCATTTTGGGGGATTGGTTTTGTGTCTCTGGATTTATTTTCATTGAAAAAAATGTTTAAGTACAATTTCAAAAAATAACACATGTTTTATATAGCATAACTAGAAAACACAGATAAGAATAAAGAAGAATGAAGGCATTATAAAAAATAAATTGGGGGAACCTGAGGAACTCCTTGGGCTACTTTTTGGAATTCCAGCTCTACTACTTACTCATTGGTATATCATAACAGGTCACATGGAGTTCACTTGATTTTCTCATCTCTGAAATGGGGATAATGCTGCCACTGAGATAACTAGGATGTTTTTTACAAAGCAAACTTCATTTATTTTGATAAAGAGGATGCTGTATGTGTATATCATATGTGTCTGATAAAACATTATATATGTATATGCTCTATATGTGTTTAAACATATGTATATGTTTCCAACAGTAGCTGGGGCTTACGAACTCTGCAAACATGCTGTTATTGGCATCAGTAATGCTTCTGTTCTCCTCTCCAGCCGTGACTTCCTCAGTCTTGCGGTCTTAAACATTCTGATCCGTTTTTTGTTGTATTAGAACTACAGTTTGAGCAATAATGTTGCTTAGGGAGTGTCCACAGATGACATATTACCTGAGTCCTTGCAGAGTTCATAGCGTCAACCTGTTTCCTTGTTACAGAAGTAATGACTTGAGTGGGCAAAGCTGGCTAGAGACCCGTATTTCCCTTCCAAGCCGCTGTGGATGTCATCCCATTACCTTCTGGCTTCCTATGTGGGAGCAAAGGCCACAGCCAAGCTGAGTCCCTTTCCCTGGGGGTAACTCCACAGCCTTAGGCCTGCATGAGAGGACGGTTCCTGCTCATGTTTAAAGAACAAAAGTGGTGATGTGTTATGTACTCCAGTGTGTATATTGAATCTGCCTGTGTCATCCAATCACGTTTTACAGTGTTCCTCTGGGGGAGGAGCACCACTGGCCTGTGATCATGTAGGCTGGCTTGTGCAAGTTTTTCTGCGGCCTCTGTTTCTCATTTTCCTCTTGGCTTTTTCTCTTTGGGTGTTAATTCTTTTGGTTGATTTTCCAGAGCTTGCTTTTGAGTATACCTTCAGATGAAGTCTTATGTGGGACACTAGTGTATAAAGCTGATCGATCACGTGGATTTGCCTTTGGGGGGTCTGGTCACACTCACCCCCAGTGTCTTAAAGAGCTTGGTGGAAGACCAGGGGCGCTGCAGAGGGCAACTTGAGAGTCTCTACAGTCTCTTTCGCCCTGTTCCAAGCTGATCCTTAGAGAAGAGAAGTTGCTTGTGCTGCCCTTTTGGTCATAGTAGTAGCTGTCTTTATGCTGTCCAAGATCCCTTCTTTAATCCGTTGAAACAGAACAAAAGGTATGTCTGGTGGGTCTAGAGCCAAACAAAATAACTCTACTGGCTTGAGTGGGGATTCTCTGTCTCCCTGCAGAACAAAAGTGTTCTAAGATGCAGATGTCATAGCGATGGGCTTTGAGGACCCAGGAATATGCTTTCCCCTGACCTACCCCTTCTCATATCACAGCTGCCCCTACCCTACTGTGTCCCCATGTGCTCGACTGGAATTGTTCCCTGAATTCAGACTGCACTTAGGAGGGGCGAGGGTGGAAGCAGGGACACCTGTGAGGAATCCAGGTGGAGACAGTGGTGGCTAATCAGGGTGGCAGTGCCGGAGGTGGTGGGGAGGCCTCCTATTCTGGTGTCTATGGAAGGTGGAGGCAATGGGGCTCACAGATGGACTGGATGTAGGGTGCAAAAGAAAAAGGGCCCAGAAGGACCCCAGGATTTCAGGACTGACCAGCTACAAAGATGGAATTGCCATCAACTGAGAGGGGAAGTTTGCAGCAGGAGCAGGTTTAAGGGGGACTGTTGGGAATTCGGTTTTGGACTCTGAGGTTTATTGCCATTAGACATTGATGTGGAGATACGAGGCAGCTGGATGGATTGGTTTGGGACTGGTGCCATTGTGGACTAGGAGGATAAATTTGTGAATCACTGACACATAGATGTCATTCAAACCCGTAATACTAGATAAAATCACCAAGGGTCAAAATGGACATGTCCCCAAAGACCCCACTGGGTCTCTCTCCTGGAGTCTCGAGTGTCTAACTCGTCTGAGGAGAGGGTCACTCGCCCTCAGCTCCCATCAGCAGCTTCACGCCCTTTGCCGAGAACTGTTGCCACAACTTGCCTGTCTCCAGCTTACCTTCGTGTGTGTGGTTTCTTTAGCAATAACCCATAACCTTTGGGCCAGCTGAGCTCACCTTTGAAAAGGTCTCTTCTTTAACATTATCCTTTCCAGTTTATTAAAAATTTAACTAGAGCTTTGACATTCCCTGAGACTCTGGGTTGCAAGATAGATTTTTCAAAGTGACTAAATGGATAATTGATTTTTTTTTGAATTTTTTGTCTTTGCTCAATTAGTTTTATATGTCCTGGGGATGACATTTTGTTAAAAAAATTTTTTTAATGTTGAAGTAAAAGCTTGTTAGCGAGTGCCCTGTCTCCTGGGGGTTTCTGGAGTCTCAGGACACACACATCAGCGTGTGGACGCCCCCAGAGCACTCGAGTTAATATTTGATTCACATGTGCAAGGACACATGCGTCCTTTGTCTTCTGTGGCTCCCAGGTCCCCTTCAGAATCTGGTCAGAGCAGTGCCCTTCTGTGCGCACAGGATGCTGTGCGCACAGTATTTGCAGGCAGTTTTGGGTGCTCACAGGCCTTGTGAAGACCGTCTGTCTGCAGGTCTAGAGCAGGAAAGAACCCCGCTTTAGAAAAACAGATGGCCGGGTGTGCAGGCAGTTGAATTGTTTCTGGAAGAAGTGGTAAGGAGCAGTGGAGGCCAGTGGCCGTGAGGGTGGATGCAAATGCTCCCGAGGGTGGAGATGCCTCGTCCTCCTCATTCTTCATCCTTCTCCAGAAAACAATGTCCCGAGGAAAGGATGTTTTTCTGACAGTGACCCCAGACTGAACACAATGTCTCTTAAAGTGCTTTTCACATGATAGATTGTAGACTTAAGGGCTTCGAGCCTTCCAGGGATTCCTGGGCCTGAGGCAAACAGCCTCCTTTTCTGTATTTGAGTGGAACTAAAAATCAAGTAGCAATTGAGTTCCCACTAATCTCTTTTCATGAGTAGTTTATGGTCTCAACAGGGCACTGCTATCCATTGCTTTGTATGTGAGAAAGTTACAGTAGGAGCTTAAAGGCATTCGAGAGGTAATCTCATTCAAACACTCACTGCTCCATTTGACAGTTTAGGGGAGGGGCGTGTTAATGAACACTGTGATTTCTTCCAGTCCTTGCGTTGGGCGATGCTGTGAAACATAACACAGATTGTACATTACTGATCTCATTTATTCAGCAGTTAGTCACTCCTTCCTCTAGGGCTCCTTGCTGTATCCTGTGCCTTCTTCCGTCACGATATGGCAATGATAGTCTCCGAATGGCAGTTATTTGAACATGTTTGTTTTCCCCGATATATGGGGCTCCTTGCAAGAAGGTCCGTGCCATCTTTTTTTTTTGTATACCATGTTACCATTCATATTGAGGAGCAATAGATATTCCAGTGCCTTCACCGACTGGTACATTCTGTCACCTAACCTCCTCTCCAGGAGATGAGAAGCCATTCGGGAGTCAGGTGTCCCTGTTCCCTCCACCCTGGCCACCAGGTGGGCTCAGGGATGGCGTCTAACTTCTGTGAGTTTCCACAACATGGTGGGCTTTCCTCTCTGTGCGGTGATTTACAAAGTCCATAGAAGAAGAGGCTGGGGAGTCTCGTGTTCCTTATTTTTCTCTCATTAGAGTTGGGTCCAGGTCATGTTGTGGCAGCTGCCAGGACACAGAGAGACCTGGGGGTCACTGCTTGTGTCTTCAGAACAGCATGGCAGTTGATCTTAAGTATCTGGCTTGTCTTCGTGGACAGCTCCTTGTAGACCACATTTCCACCTTTAAACGAAATGCTTGAGGTTGTAATCAGAAGTGATTTTGCTTCGGGAGCAAAACCCACAGATTTATACACTGAAATATGAACAGTGGTTGGTTCATCCTGGGATTATGGCTGATTTTTATTTCCTTCATGTTTTTGTGAGATTTGTAACTCTGCTTTTCTATAATGAGTATATATGAAGCATGCAATCAGACGAACATAATTTTGGAAGGGAGACCTTCGTCACCCAACCGCCTCAATGCCCCAACCCCCAACACACACACAGGGGTGTGTGTGGAACTCTTTCTTTATGCTTGAGATAATTGTATTGGGGTTGTTTTAATCGCAGGTTGAAAACAGAATGAAGTATTGTATTAGTTCCCTATGGTCGCTGAAACAGATTATCCCAAACTTAATGGCTTCAAACAACCCAAATTTATTCTCTTAAAGTTCTGGAGGCCAGAGCCTGAAATTACTTTCGTTGGGCTAAAGTCAGGTGTTGGCAGGGGCATGCGCCCCCTGGAGGCTCCTGGCCTCTTCCAGCTCCTAGAGCCCTCCTGGCCCTGTGGCCACAGAACTCCAGTCCCTGCCCCCATGGCCACACT